AAAAAGGTACTGGTGGTCTCCGGGCATGTATGGCTTCCCTAAAGAGTTTTGGGAATCCACCTAGGATTTCCTCAGTTAGGATGTGATGGATTTCTATCAAGAAGTACGGCGGACAGGGGAAATGGCCGAAAAGGGTGGGACAAGGGGTGTTGACCTTACTCTACAAAAAAGGGGACAAAATGGATATCCGCAATTATCGTCCTATCACACTTCTTACGGTGGTCTATAAAATGTTGTCGAAAACCTTGGCTAATTGTATGATTCCGGTTTTGGAAGATATTATTCACTCATCTCAAACCGGGTTTATGCATAATAGAAATATATAGGAAAACATCCTCCTAGTGCATGAGGTGCTACAACTTGCCCGAAACTCCCGCCAGAATTCGGCCTTGGTCTTTATCGACTTTGAAAAAGCATATGATCACGTCGATTGGAACTTTCTGGATAAAAGCTTAGAAAAAATGATGGGCTAGTTTTATAGTGGTGGGCTCAAATTTTTCATCACAACGCGACCACTTGTATCCAAGTCAATAGGAATCTGGAGCCGCTCATAAAACTAGAATGGTGGGTCCGCCAAGGTGACCTGATTGCCCCCTTTTTGTTCTTAATCATTATGGAGGCGCTGACCGCCAACCTACGGACCCATAAGAAATATTACCAAAATTCGAATTACACACATACCGGAGGAGGTCATCCCAATTTGTTCTCTGTTCGCTAATGACCTCACAATCATGGTACAGGCCACCCACGATAACCTAAAGGAAATTCAGGAAATGATGGAAAGATTCACGAACGTCCTTGGCATGACGGTGAATTGGGGGAGCAAGACGTAAGGATGGTGAATACACTACCAGAGGGGGACGCCCCACAGACTCACCACAAGTCGCATGGAGGCCACTGGACACTCCCCTGAGAATCCTAGGGGTATTCATGACAGCAATTGGATGCCCACCAACTAATGATGAATTGATAAGTTCTCGCGCTGTGCAAAAACTCTGTAACTGGAACAATAAGCATACCTCTCTTTTCGGCGGAACGCTGGTTATCAATAACGTCGTTTTCGGAACCTTGTGGTACAAGTCGGTGTTTTGGCCGTTGAGTAAAGGAGCATTGAGGAGACTTAGGAGAAAGGCAACAACTGTCCTGTGGAGGGGAGATAGTGAGAACAGTAAGGTCATTTGCAGGGTAGCATGAGACTCAATTATCCAGCCCAAAGTTTGGGGGGGTCTGGGGATCATAGACCCCACCACGCAGATTCAGGCATTGCGATTGCAATGGGTGAGAAACTTGATCTTCACACCCCATAGTCCGTGGAGCGTAATGACCATTGAGCACCTAGCTCGCCTTGCCCCAGCCACCCTGCAAGGGGTACACCCACTGACTTGGCTAAAGGACCGTTATTGGACAATCCTGCACAAAGTCTCATGGAAATAAGGAGAATTGGAGGGGGAGGACCACACCGGGAACACCTTTTGGCCATCTCTATTGTCGGTATGAAGGAGGTTTCCGCTCCCTAACAAAAATCCCCCGGACCGTTGGGAAGAGGTATATCGTCATCCTTTGTTTGGTAACCAATGACTGGCAGATAAACAAGGCTATATCAAGTCGAGCTCAACCTCGCCATGAAAAAGTTGGGTCAAGCGTGGAGTGCTCATAATAGGGGATCTGTGGGACCAGGAGAGACGAAGTTGGAAATCACTCAGAGTCTGCGTTATTCATGTGAAATAGCACTTGGACGATCTGATCGAGACTGTTCCACTAGCATGACACCAAATCCTCAAACATGGGTTGTCCTTCAAAGAAGGAGATTGGATAGTGACAAAGGTAGTATCACCACGCATTGGTCAGGTTCACATGGTAGACCCTTGAATGGTCCAGGTGAAATTTTATGCGAGTACATGAAAAGGAATACTAAAAGGAAACACAATCCCCTTCGAATGGGTAGAAAAAACTGTAGTTTATCGGATAAGAGTCATGGAAGGGAGCGGGGAGAGGGTGGCTTATCAACCACAATGGGCAGTTCAAGAACTGACCCTCGACCCAGATGAATGGACTTGGCTGCTCCCTCAGAGAAAGAGGGGGGTGCAACAAGCCATACATCGCTTCACCGCCTGTTAGTCAAATCCACCTACAAGATGCTAACGCCCCAAAAAAAATTAAGGGATGTGGTTATAGACCGGTGGGCCCGTCAACTAAATGTCGACCACTCCCTTCTGTTACCGATACGCTGGTTTAGAGACCAAAAATCTAAATCAGCGAAAAAACCCTCCTTGCAATGGCAGATAATGCATCGCTGCCTTCCCACGAATGACTAGTTAATAGATCGTACCAATCTGTAACAGCGAGGACTGACGCTACCATGGTGTCAACAATGTCTACATATGTTCCCCTCTCACAAGAGGGCAAAGACTATTAAGCACATTTTCATGCAATGCCCAATAACTCAGTTTATGTGGCGGTGGTGGGACCGTGTCTGGTGAAAGATGGTGACTGTAATTCCTTGGCCATGGTCATGGCGGGCCATTTTGGTAGGCCACTGACCCTTGGAAGGAGAAGACTCGGCCTTTGTAGAGAACATGTTCTGGTTGGGTAGGAGAGAGGTGATGTGGCCTCTCTGGTGGCAGAGGTGCGTTCTAGCTTTAGAAAAGGTGAGGATGGAAGGGGTGCAAATCATCGAACAAATCCAGCAATAGGTGAGGATGGAAGGTGAGGATGGTCAGACACGAAATCACAACTGGATTTGTTCTCACAAACTACTGATATTAGGAGTCTCGGAGTGATTACAACATTCTCCATGGACTAGTTGGGAGGCGAAAGGGAGGGATGGGTAAGAAAGTTCATTTGCGGAGGGGACAAGGCTGATGAACCACGAGATTTGGAAGATATAAGGGATTACAAGTTAGTGTTCAAAGATTGGATCCATGTGGAACCCTCATTCCCTCTGCGCCCCTCTTCAGATTTCCTAGACCCCTTCCCTCCCCATGCTCTCTACTTGATGGAAATTCTGACTTAAAAAAATGTTTTAGAAAGATGGGGCAGACAAGGAGAGAAAGGAGGTTACCGTTCCAATGGTGGCCCCCAGTGGCTACTTTCGTTTTTTTCCCGCATGACACCCACGCAGGTAATGGGACGCTGGACCCGGTTTCCAGCTAGCATGCACTCAATAGGACTCAATAGGGTTGAGGGGGAGGGAGGAACTAGTGTGTAGTTGTGTATCTGACTCCGGATTCAGGGTGAAGAGGTTCCCCCCTCCGTCCAGTACCCTGCTCAGTCAATCCCCTGGATCCCAGGGTAATCAATGCTGGCAGGAACACCCCTCAAACTGTTCTTTGATGTACTCCGATTTCAATCTGTATACGGGACGCTGAACCAGCTTTCCAGCAGGTGATGCTCCCGAGTCCCCACCAATAGACGGAGCCTCTCCCCAGGTGCTAGTGGTGTCTGCTCGTATCAGCACCAAGTGTTAGGTGGGGGAGTGTGCTTAAAAAAAAAAAAAGAAAAAAAAAAGGTACTGGTGGTTTAAAACGAGGGAAAGAGAGAAGGAGAGGAAAACAACCCTTTTCAAATTAACAAAAAGGGAAAACTAGGGCGTAGTCACGGTTTCAGTTTCAAAATGCGCTTCAAGCACGGTTTCGCAAATGTTGTGCCAAAGAGCAGAAACTGGTGAATGTATACAACCTAGATTTTTTTTGTTTTTTTTTTTTGAGAATAACCCTCGTGATATCCCTCTATCTTGGTGGCGGAAGGAGAACCGACAAAATTGAGGGATTACCTTTCGGGCTGCTCCATCTATTGGTGGGGAGCGGCACCTGCTGGAAATCAGGTCCAGCATCTCAGTAATACATCTTGTAACATTGAGATTGTTGTTTGGTGTTTCCTAAGGTTGTGGTCATTATTGTCTCATCTCGAGACTCCTTTGTCCCTTGGAGCTGCTAGTTTCACCCTTCCCTTTTTTGGAGCTCATTCATCCATTAACCCAACCCTATTTAAAACAGCCCCCCGGTTTGATTATTGCTATGTCTGTCCTTATAAAACCCTTTACACCCTATATCCTGTGTGTCCGATTTTCAATTCAACGCGGGTTCCGCGTTGAAAAACTCAGCGCGCGTTGAATTCGCGTTAAACTCCCGTTCAAACGCGTGTTGGACGCGAATTAACGGGGTCCGGGGTGATTGTTTTCGTGGGCTAAAAATTATCCAAAAAAAAAAACAAAAAATTATGGGGTTGTAGGTTTTTTTGAGGACTACAACCCTGTATTTTTATTTTTATTTTTTGATGTTTAAATATATTTAAAAAAAATCAATAACATAAACACACAATGAAAAAAACAAAAACTAAAATTGAATGAGTGTTTTCGTTTTGAGTTTCACACATATTTTTTAAGGGAAAAAACAAAAACAAAAAAACAAATAAAAAATATAGGGTTGTAGATCTTTCAAAGATGTACAACAAGTTATTTTTTATTTTATTTTTTTGGAAATTTGTGTATTTAAAAAAAAATAAAACCCATAAAAAGCAAATAAAAAGAAGGAAAAAAAGACATACACACACACAAAATTGGGCCTGTAGCAGGTTGCATGAGTCTGGCGTCTATTGGTTGAGAGAACCCAGGCCCTGGGCCGCCTGTGTGAATGTATGGAAAGCAGGCCCCGGGCTGGATACAGGTACTGGGCCAAACACAGGCCAAAGGCAGTTGGGGGCATGCAACCACCTCACGCCCAAGGTCTGTTCGCATTCGTGCTGGGCCTCAGGCTACCGGGGCCTACTGGAAGCTTCCTAGGACTGAACACAGGCAGACCACTTCGATATAGCAAAGGGCCTGCCTCCACATTGGGCATTCGGGTGCTGGCTGCATGTTGTGTAAGCGCTACCGTGCTGTAGCTCGCTGACACTCACGCGCTCACGGGCGAGCAGGAAGGAGCAGGCAACCATAGTCGAGCTGCGCTGTTGTAAACAGGGTATGGCGGAGGGTGATCCTTGGGTGCAAGTGGCATCTGTGTGTTGGGGAACGAGGTTGTGAGTAAGGCGAGAGACATACCTGGTGCTGGAAGCGTGCGGCATTGGTCGTTGTATGCTCGTACTTCGGGAAAGTTGTTGACGTCATCTTCGACATTGTAGTCTAGGCTATATAGGATCTGCAATCTGTAGTCTGGGCTCCGAGCGCCATATAGGATATCAACATTGGTTCTTCATTGATGATGATGATGAGACTTTACCAATATTGTCAATTATGAGCTCTTGGTGTCTTCTTATTTGGTGAAACTCATGATGCAATTCTACTGTTGGTTCGAGGTCTCGACTATCTAGTCTTGTGTATATGATGTTGTTTGATTGCTGAAGTTCGCTATTGCTCATCTTCCTTGCTTAGTAGAAGAGAAAAAAAAAAAACACAGACCCAAATCGCCCGCCCAAACCCATATCGCGCGCCCCCAGTTTTCAACGGGAAAGAACTATATCCCTCAAAAGGGAAACAATGGACACACGGACACACACACACACACACACACTTACAAACACACACATACACACACTTACAAACACACACATACACAAACACACGTGCATACATTCATATTTATGCACAGACACACTCTCACGCGCAGGCACACACATACACAGATACGCACACACACAGCACACCTACACACACATAACTGGGGCATTGGGGGTTGGGGGATGTGGGGGCGGATGGGAGGTGCTTCAGGGGTGTTTTTTTTTTTGTTTTTTTTTTTTGTTTGTTTGCTTAGGGCCACATGTTCCGGACCCCGCGCATCAATTCCGTTTTTCCGAAAAGCACGGGAGCGGCTCATTTTCGCGTTTAACGCGAATTCAACGGGATTTTTTGGAATTTAACGGGATTCAACGGAAGTTTCATTCCCCCGTTCAGTGTTAAAAAGATACACAACCTATATCCTCTTAAAATCAGTACAAAGCACGTTCGTAGCTCCATTCGTCACACAAATCAGCTTATATGTGTTCTCCTTCCCCAATGAAGTAACTGTTCCATCGGACTCCTTCATTGCCAACTTCAACGTTAAACCTATAGGGTTTGCTCATCGTGACCGTTGTCCTCAGGCTGACGCATGTTTATTCTTCGGGTCTGGGTTCGTTGCAGGTAGAATCATGTCGGTCCTTCGTACAGTGGTCGTTGTCTTTATATCTGCTAGTCACCAGTCCTCCATAGTTGTCCCTGCACCTTGCACAGTCTGAGGAATCGATCCCATTGTTCGTATTGTCCCCAACAGGCGGTTAGAGAGGGGAGTGAAGGGGGGTAAGGGAAGAGAAGGAAAGGCGGGCGGGCAAGGGAAGAGGGGGGTAGAGAAGGGGTAGAGAGGGGGGACGGGAATGTGGCCTCTGACATGTTATGGTTGAGGAGACGAAAGAAGGACGGAGTTGGGTTGGAGGTAAGGGACTTGGAATTCGGAGAAGGGTCTCCTTTGCCATCTGGGTTTTGTGTTCCTCCAAGGTTTCCACGTGATATTGAGGGCGGTGTCTAGTTCAGAGAATATTTTGTTAGGATTCTGCCAGGTCAGCATGTAGGAGTCTCGGATTGCTTGCATGACAGTGGAGTCTTTCTCCTCAAGAAGGTCGCTTTTCATCGACTTCCATACTTCTCGTGTCCTGGTCCTGATCTGTTCTTCGATAGCTTGTTGTACCTGTTGCAGGCCGAATTAGTGTTCCTTTCTTTCAAAGGAGCATCTGGCTCTCCAAGCCAGCATGAGGATGTGCAACCGTGTATACGAGAACAGGTTGGTCGCGAATGAGAATTTGTGTGCCTGCAAGTGGCAGTTGTCTCCCAGGAGCAGAAGACGAACGTCCCAGGGGATATGAGAACCCGTGAGGGAGTCACTGTGGAAGTTAGCGTCCCACCACTGCCACAGTTGGGTGACCATTGGACATGCCAACAGACAGTGCTCGAGAGTCGCACGAGCCGACATTTGAGTTTTTATGTAGTATGCACAAATGGGAGACAACCCCCCTTTTTGTTCCAGATCTGTTCTAGAGACAAGCCAGTAGGGGGTGGGGAGGCAACGGTGCAAGATCTGCCACTGGAGAGACTTGTGATTTGTCGGTATGATCTTCACAAATTTGGACCGGATGAAAGATTGTGACATTTTTGGTTCGAGCGGCGAGTCCCGTGCCTATCTATCTACAAAAGACTGCAATTGTGTTGTTGATTTGCTGGTCTTGTTGCGATGCTCCGTATCACCCTTTGACCGTGTACTCCCATATTTGCATAGGTCGAGTGTCAGGCCATTCCCACTCAGTCGGGTCAAAGGGGAGTTTGGCCATAGGCGTGGCTGGCTGAAATATGTGGTGGCCCTTTTGTGAATCTCCTACCGTCCTCACCTGCATCAAACCGGCCCACCTACGTACAGAGTCCAAGTCATCATTTTTTGTTAGTTTGAAAAACTTCACCCCAGACACTTGTGGTTCATAGGCTTCCAACGCGCAGACACCATCCACATTGTTTTTGACTTTAAAGATGACGGGGGGGCGGGGCAAGTCTGAATATCTAACTACCCAGTCGTCTTTTTCGACCGTCGGGCCCTTTTGCAGAGCCAGGCGTCAGGCGAGAGGGAGGGCCTCTCTTAGCAAACCAACTTTTTCTTCAATATTTTTGACATACTTAAGTTTGTTTCGGAGCTGGTCGGGGGTTGCCCAGTCCTCACTGACCGGGTCCCACAGGTCCCGTACTGTGAAAACTCCCTTTATGGCCCAATTGAGCCATGAAGAGTTCGTTGTAAGGGGAAATGGGGCACCTGTTTCTTGAAGGATAAGCGGGTTGCCAAAGAGAGGTTGCCTCCATATATCATGTCATGTGTTGGGGGGGTGTTTCTGTTGTGGCCCTCTCTGCCTCCAAAGCTTGAGCATGTAGGGCCAGAGTGGATCCACCGACCTGTCCAACTTTGTTGCATGTGTTGAACTCTCTGATTGCGCTTACTTCGGAGGCGCTGGAATGGACCTGTGATTATTTGTCAGCCACTGGAACAGATGCACTGTTCCAGACACCTGTGATTGTGGGACGAGCCTGACAATTTGCAGACAGGCCAACGGCTCCTAAGAGATATCATTCCCCATTAGTAGTCGAACAAGGACCTTAAAGATGAGTGTCTCACTCTCTCTCTGAGGGTCTAGAATCCCCAAACCCCCTTTAGTCCTGGGCTGTGTGACCACCTCCCATTTCACTCTATTGAGATAATTTGGGTTTTCACGCTATTTTTCCACAGATATGTTGTGAGCGCCTTCTTCAATCTGGCATGTTGTTGTTTATTTAGTGGCCATAGTGACAATTTGTACCATATGGCCGCG